GGAATTAGGGGCCAAAAAGGGGCCAAAAATAAGCATTTTTGTAACTTCCAGACATAACTTGTGTGTTAGTGTATGGATCTCTCTGACAATGTACCACAAGGTTCCATAAGGATTTCTGGAAATGATTTTGGGGGTAATTGCCTCAAAATTTTAGGAATTAGGGGCCAAAAAGGGGCATAAAACAACCATTTTTCTAGTTTCATGACAATAACTTGTGTCACGTTGTGTGTTAGTGTATGGATCTTTCTGAAATTGTACTACAAGGTTCAATATCACAAAGGAAAAGCTGGAATTGAGTTTGGGGGTAATTGCCCAAAACGTTAAGGAATAAGGGACCAAAAAGGGGCCAAAAATAAGCATTTTTCTAGTTTCCAGACAATAAGTTGTGTTCAAGTGTATGGATCTCTCTGAAATTGTACTGCAAGGTACCATACCACAAAAGGAAGACTAGGATTGATTTTGGGGCTAAATGCCTCAAAATTTAAGGAATTAGGGGCAAAAAAGGGGAAAAAACAAGCATTTTTCTAGTTTCAGGACAATAACTTGTGTTTAAGTGTATGGATCTTTATGAAATTGTATTTCAAGGTTCCATATCACAAAGGGAAAGCTGGTTTTGAGTTTGGGGGTAATTGCCTTAAACATTTAAGAATTTGGGGCCAAAAAGGGGCCTAAAAACAAGCATTTTTTTAGTGTCCAGACAATAACTTGTGTTCAAGTGTATGGATCTCTCTGAAATGGTACTGCAAGGTACCATACCACAAAGGGAAGGCCGGGATTGAGTTTGGGGATGATGAATCATAAAAGGGTTCAAAAAATTTGGGGGAGGGATTTTATTTTTCCTTTCTTTCCTTTTTTTTTTCTTTTAAATTTTCCATTTTAAATTGGTTATTCCTGGTTTATATATAAAAGCAAATAATAAAGATATGGTTTGAATAGGTAAATTAAAAAATTTTAAGTTCTTAGAACACATTCATTCTGTGTCAGAAACCTATGCTGTGTCAAATATTTAATCACAATCCAAATTCAGTGCTGTATCAAGCTTGAATGTTGTGTCCATACTTTCCCCAACTGTTCAGGGTTTGACCTCTGCGGTCGTATCAAGCTGCGCCCAGCGGAGCATCTTATTAGTTTCTGTTCTCTACTTAAGTTAGCCTAACCAAATGTTATGAGACTTACACACAATGCTTATTATCACAAAACCTAGATCAAGTTCAAATTTGGGTAGCGTCACTTTTATCGTTCTTCAGTTATGTCCCTTTATAACTATATGCTATGCAAGCAGGGGCATCATCTGTGTCCACATGTGGACACTATCCACATTTATTTTGTGAGATCTTAGTTTATGCAGGGCACAAAATCCTTATACACGCTTCAATAATAAAGGAACAGCACTTTTATTGCTATATTTCATAACCCTAAGATTGTTAGTGGTTTTTAGTTTATAGCCTTCATCGAACAAGTGTGTAGGAAAACTGGCTCAAATCTGTAATAAATAGCTTTCCATGCTTATAAAATTTAGCTTCTCAGAATTTTTATAGTTGACTTAATATAAATATAGCATTAGAAAATATAGCATTACTGAAAGCTGGAGATGTGAAAATTCTTCTGAAACTTAATTTTTAACAGATTAAGAGCCAATTACCAAGAATTTACGTCCAAATGCATTTAAAAAAACAAAGGAATTTTTCTGTAAGGGCTGTTCCATTAAAATGTATGTGGGAGGGTAGGAAGGGACTTTCGAAATATCCCTACAACCAAGAACCATTTTTTAGCTAATTTTGCATAATGGTAATAGACGCATACTAAGAAAAGACCCATGACCCACATTCAATAAATATTTTTTTCAATGGCAGATGCAAACAGACCAACCAGAAACACCGGATAAAACTGATAATGATGAAAAGAAGGAAGAAAATTCTGCCGGTGATAAAAAGTGAGAGAAAAAGGTATTCTGTATAAAAGTAATTCCGGAGCTTACTTCAATCCTAATATTTTGTTATATATGACGATAAAATCTTTCACTTATTGGCTGTTCTGGGCATGTGCCATACCTAAAAATAACAAGGACACAGACCCTTAACTTTTTCTGCTTTTTTAGCTCCATTATTTATATACTATCAAATTATAACAATCTTTTAAAAATCTTTGTTATTTTGAATAAGACAAGCGAACATCCTAAAGGGGCATTAGCTATGGATAAGACAAAAAAATCAACGTATGATTTTTTTTGTTTCAAACATTTATGAAAGTGGAATATATATGTAGGACTCAAATCTATGGCGGGTTCCAAATCTATGGCAGATACCTAATCTATGGCAAATTTGACGTTTCAAACGCCAAACAAATCAAACTCAATGGCAGATTTTTGTTTTTCTCCAAATCTATGGCAGATTTAGGAATTACGTAATTTTCCGGGGAAAAGAGTAACATATAACGCCACAATGAAATAACGCCATATAAGTCGTCGCCGACAGTAAAGTTGTAGGCTCTCCAAACTTTCCTGAAGTCCTGTGTTTAAGATACGCAGGAAAACACTTTCTGCTTTCCCTGTAGAACAATTTGCCGATGGTTTAAATGAAGATGTGATCTTTTATCCATAGGAGGGACACTAATTATTGTACCGTCCGAATCCCGCGATCAAGAAAGGCACAGCTGTTTTAGTAGTGGATATTTTGGGAATGGAGTTATAGTAAATATTTTAGCATCTACGGCTGGCAAAGTATTTAAAGTGAGAAAATGAAATTACAGGATACCACCTTGACTTAAATCGTCACCAGTTAAAAAAGATTGATTAACGCTGAAATAAATATTATGTGAAAGTCAAACTGTTTAAATTGTTTTTTTTATAAAAAACTGCTTTCTTGTTTGTTAAGAGACTTCCATTTTTCTAGTTGTTTTAACAAATGGATTAAACAGGTACCATGCACAGATTAGGAAATGCTTATTTTTCCGGGGAAGATAATTTTAATCCCGATTTCTGTATTATGGTATATCACTTCTACACTTTTTTATGGTTGACATCACGATTTGGTTGACCATTATGGAATTTTTATTTCACAAATGTTTATAGACATGCTCCCGTTGTTGTACATTCATGACATTTCAACTTATTCAAGACAAGTCAGTGATTGTATATGTACCGCCTTGCTCTACATTTGCACAAAATCTGCCATAGATTTGGAAACAACAAAAATCCGCCATAGATTAGGAAATAACAAAACTTGCCATAGATTAGGATTTTAAAAAATCTGCCATAGATTGGGGATGGCATGACATCATATTTACCATAGATTAGGAATCTGCCATAGATCTGGAACCCACCATAGATTTGAGTCCTACATATATAAATAATGTTTCGCTATTGGCAGTCACTATGGTTAATTGTTCAAAATAAGCTAAAAAAAAACACATCGCCTTTGTACTATTGGTTTGCTGGTCAATAATTCAACCTCATTTTAATCTGTATTCATGCAAACCTTAATTTGACCTTTAGTGAAGATGGGTTGTGCATTGGTTCAGTATGTGGTTCATTCATTTAAAAGAAAACAATGTCAATATTGAAAAGTGAAACTAGGGGACACAAGGAATAACCAGTTTATTGACTGATCTTGCCCATAAAAAATCATTTTTATACAGGGTCCCTTGTAGAGAGATGTCTCATTGGCAATCATACCACATAATCTTATTTTTATATATTGATGATTTACATATATTTTTATTTTAATCTATAATATGAAATCAAACAGACCTAGGAAAATCATCATTATTTGATTGCACAACTGTCTGTTTATATTTATATCAGGTTATATGACTGTCAGCGGTCTTCGGAAGTTATCTCAATGAATAATTAGATGGCATCGTCTAAAATATGCAAAAAATGCTGATTCATTGTTATCGTAGAGTGGTTATATGGAGTCCATGCATCATTAATTGTTTATTTTGGACTCATTGTTATTTGAATATACGCTTTAGTATGTTATAAATCAAATTTAAGAATTTGGGTCAAATTAGTGAACACGAATTTGACAGCTTATGCCCCTTTTAAGACTAGTTAGCAAGCTATAGTGATCCGACATATATACACTGTACCAGATATACGATCAAATCCATTATTGAATTTTTGTTCCAGTAGACTAGACATATCTCAGTGATTTTATAAATAAAAACTACAAGGTACTATCTGTATTTCATTATATTGTGTGAAAGTTATCTATTTCTCTGATAAACACTAAAAACATACTTTTCTTACAGTCTGAAGAGAAGAAGAAAAAGAAAGTCAAGAACATAGATCTACCAATTGAAGCCTGTGTTCCTGAAATGTCCAAAAAGGAGATCAATGAACTAGTCGAAAAAGAGGCAAAACTAGACAGTTTATACATGACCACTAACAGAAAAAGAGATTAAAAAACTAAATTGAACAAAAAACACTTCTTCCAAGTCTGCTTAAAATTTAAAATTTTTCAAAGTTTAAAATTTGTAATTTTTCATTGCAGTTGGAAGCATACAAAAATCCCCTCTAAAATTACACATTTACAAACAAAATTAGCTGCGTCAGATAGAAATGACCATATGCAAAACATCCGTTAACCTATTTCTGGTTAAAAAGTCTCAATGGAAAGTCTGTAATTGTTTTAAAATTGAGTTGTTTTAAAAACCCTACAAAACAGACCAAAATTTGAATAAAATTTCTGTGATAAGTTTCAATTTCCAGAAAATGAAAATTTGGAAGGGGACTGGAAAAAATTATATTCTATAATTATCCTATAGTTTAGTCGACTGGATAGTGTTTGCATTTCCTGCCTGTTCCCGTTCGATTGTAAACGAGAAGATTTATTTTTTTGGAAATGTGCTCTTTTAATCAGACACATTTATATGATAGGTAAAAATTATTTTTTTAAAACAGGCGGTTCTTTATTCTCATTTATGTGGGGGGCATGAATTAGTTGAACCTTTTCACTAAGCCTCAATTTCATTTTCTCTGTTGACAGAATCAGATGATTATGGAAGACAAGTTAGAGAAAGAAAGAGCTGATGCTAAGAATGCTGTAGAGGAATACGTATATGACATGAGAGATAAGCTGTCTGAAGCCTATGAACCTTTTGTTAGGGAAGCAGTAAGTATAGAGTATTTACTTAAAAACTAAAGTCAAATAAAATTAACACATTCAAAATTTTGGTAACTTATGATATAGTGAACAAAATCATTTTCGTGTGATTATTTTACGTGACTTTTGCTAGTAGAAAATCACACATTTACAAACAAAATTAGCTGCGTCAGATAGAAATGACCATATGCAAAACATCCGTTAACCTATTTCAGGTTAAAAAGTCTCAATGGAAAGTCTGTAATTGTTTTAAAATTGAGTTGTTTTAAAAACCCTACAAAACAGACCAAAATTTGAATAAAATTTCTGTGATAAGTTTCAATTTCCAGAAAATGAAAATTTGGAAGGGGACTGGAAAAAATTATATTCTATAATTATCCTATAGTTTAGTCGACTGGATAGTGTTTGCATTTCCTGCCTGTTCCCGTTCGATTGTAAATGAGAAGATTTATATTTTTGGAAATGTGCTCTTTTAATCAGACACATTTATATGATAGGTAAAAATTATTTTTTTAAAAAAGGCGGTTCTTTATTCTCATGTATGTGGGGGCATGAATTAGTTGAACCTTTTCACTAAGCCTCAATTTCATTTTCTCTGTTGACAGAATCAGATGATTATGGAAGACAAGTTAGAGAAAGAAAGAGCTGATGCTAAGAATGCTGTAGAGGAATACGTATATGACATGAGAGATAAGCTGTCTGAAGCCTATGAACCTTTTGTTAGGGAAGCAGTAAGTATAGAGTATTTACTTAAAAACTAAGGTCAAATAAAATTAACACATTCAAAATTTTGGTAACATATGATATAGTGAACAAAATCATTTTCGTGTGATTATTTTACGTGACTTTTGCTAGTAGAAAATCAATAAATGATTAATTGAAGCTAATTTGTCTTTGACCTTTCTTATATTCATACTCCAAGTTAATAAGAACAGGTAAGATATGAAAAAAAAAGTATCAGCAAAAATTAGGAAATTGGTGTACAGTATGTATAATTATAGATCATCTATGGTTCTGAAAATATCATACACAATGGGAAAGCTTGTATGCAGGGGTAACACATTGTTGTCTTGATATAACACCTACAATATCCCCCCTCCCCCTTTTTTTTATAATAGAGAATATCCACTTCCAAATATCCCTTGCTTTGTCACAGATAAAAATGCATTGATAAAACACTTTATTTACCATGACTATTTGCAACATACGAATATGTTTCAGCCACATGAAAGCCATTTTTAAAATGACACCAGTAGTTACTGGGCTAAAATAATAATGGAGAAATTTAACAATTCACCATGCTCCAATTGGAGGAAAAGGTGCTGGTTTATTAGAACCATACATTTTAAAAAATTCAACCGATCAGACTCTCTCGAATTAATTCTTAAATTTATGACAAAAGTGTATAGTTGTCAAAGAAGATATTGATTTTTATTTTGCCTTTCATTTTAGGACAGAGAAAAGTTTAGTAAATTATTATCAGAAACTGAAGACTGGCTGTATGAAGAAGGAGACGACCAGAAAAAACAAGTTTACCTTGACAAACTTACACAGTTAAAGGTATTTAAATTTTTTTATTTTTCATATTTTATTGAAATCTGTACGTTTGTGAGTTAGAAAACTTCAAGTACGGGTATCTTATCCAGGCCTCGTTTACACTAGTAAATGGTTGATTGATGGATTGACTTTTAACGCCACTTTCACTACTGTGCTCTTTCGTGGCAGTTAGTTTTTATTGGTGGAGGAAGCTGGAGAGAACCACCGACCTTTGGTAGGAAAACTGACAATCCTCGTCAATTAAAATTGGGGTCTAGTGCACCTACTCTGTGTGGGATTTCAACTCACAACCTCAGTGTTGACTCGCTAGTGATACAGTAGTTTGACTACTTAGACCACTCGGCCAGCGAGGCCCCTCATTAGTAAATAACATATACATATATAAACTGTTAGTATGTGTTGGTAATGTACACACAATATTACATACTTAATTTTTTTTTAGATAACTCATCAGAAATATAAATTTACAAGCTTACCATTAAGATTATCAAACATCAATATCTAATAAAACAAATGCACAGGTTATCAAAATATAGTGTTTGTGTAGTTTTAGTTGTAAAATATATAGATCATTATTCTCTATTGGTATTATTAAGGTAGGTTTTTGTATATGATTTGGATTTTGAATAAAGCGGCATATTCATCTGAGGAAAAAGGATATTCACTGCGCTAAATATGTAACGTTATGGTAAAATTTTTGATGTACCTGATGAAAAAGGACATTCACCACGCTAAACGTCACTTGTTTTCACATGTAATGTTAAGGAAAAATGTTTGATGTACAATTTGTTTAGATAAATAATTGTCATTAAATATTTTTTCTCTAGGAATATGGAATAAATCAAGTACTGTCTTTTGTTTTGGTAAATGTGAGGTTTAATTGACTTTTGAAAAACTGATATTCACTTCAACCTTTGGCCTCAGTGAATATCAGTTTTTCAAAAGTCTATAAAACCACATATTTACCTCATCAAAAACAGTACTTGTATGATATTGCCTGGTGTTAAATACATAATAGGAAACATCAAAACAATAATGAGCTGAATAGAACAGTGAAAACATTCTAAGGTCAGCTTTGTTCAAGGGAGTTGCAAGCCTTCAATACTTGCATAATTTATTAATTGAAAATATAGTCAAGGTATCCTGAGGGTCTTAGATGTTAGGAAAAAACATTTTAAACTGTTATATCAATTAATAACTGTAGATATATAAAGAATAACAGTTGAATTTGCAACAGATAACTAATTCAGACATGTATTTAAAAAGCGTATGTCTGCTTGATTTTTTTCAGAATATTGGTATCCCAATAAAAGACAGATATGATGAATTCCAGTACAGACCTGCAGCATTCGATGAATTAGGCCATGGTATTCAACATGTCAGGAAGTTTTTAGATCTCTGTGCTCAGAAGGTAATAAAGCATCCTAAAAAAGATCTAAAATTACATACAGGCGAGACATATCTCTCTGTAAACAGTTTATTTGTCTGAAGATGCCATATCTGGAACCTGTGCATCCGTGAGATGTGTCTTTGTTACATAAGTCCTATTATTATTAAAAAATAGAAGAAGAAGCACTTCTTGTCAATTTTTTACTTGGTTTTATACTCTTAAAAAAATTGTATTGTCTCGACAGGTTTTTTTTTATCGTATTTTATCAGGATAACTAAATTCATATTGTCTTATAGTATTTTCTATCAGATAGATTATTTATTTACGACACTGTCAAAAACAAATACCTTGTTAATCCAATTGATTGGACATGCTGTTTATTGTCCCACATGTTTAGGGGTACATAGGAATACTGGTCACCCGTCTGTTAGCTTAGGTTATCTTGAAATTATCATGCTCTATTTTGTATTTTCAGGATGAGAAATATGCCCACTTATCAGCAGAAGATGTAGAAAAAGTCTCCAAATGTCTGGCAGAAAAAGAACAATGGCACAATAAAGCACTGATGGACACACAAAAACAAAGTTGTTATGATCCTCCAAGTGTTTTAGCACAACAAATTCGATCAACAAAACAGGTATGTTAGAAAATCAAGAACTTTTTTAAGTTATTGAGATTTTCTATGTTCAAAATATTGTTAATTGGGAGGAAGTGAGGGATGTGTTGCATGCAAGGGTCAAGTCTTCAGCCAGTTAGGATGAACACATAGAGAGATATTAAGTATTTTCCCATTACTGGCATTTTGTCAGAGATGCAACAGTTTTTTTTTCTGTCAGACATTGGGGCCTACAGGGTAGCAAGTTTTGTCAGACCCATCAAATTTTTGCCAGACCTACATTTTTTTTACATCAGCTTTTTATACAGTAAGAGAACGAAGATAGGATGTCTTTACAGTGACAGCTGCTTTAGTGGATTGGATTTTGTGGTCGTATATTGGAATGACGTTGGCGTCGTCGTCGTCGTCGTCGTCCGGCGTCGTCGTCGTCGTCCAGCGTCGTCGTCCGAAGACACATTGGTTTTCGCACTCTAACTTTAGTTTAAGTGAATGGATCTTTTTGAAATTTTACCATAAGGTTAAATACCACTAAAGGTAGGTTGGGATTGATTTTGGGGGTTATGGTACCAACAGTTAAGGAATTAGACAATAACTTGTGTGTAAGTGTATGGATCTCTCTGACATTGTACCACAAGGTTCCATATCACAACGGGAAGGCTGTAATTGATTTTGGGGGGTAATTGCCTCAAAATTTTAGGAATTAGGGGCCAAAAAAGGGGCAAAAAACAAGCATTTTTCTAGTTTCATGACAATAACTTGTGTGTAAGTGTTTGGATATTTCTGAAATTGTACTACAAGGTTCCATATCACAAAGAGAAAGCTGGAATTGAGTTTGGGGGTAATTGGCCGAAACGTTTAGGAATTGGGGCCAAAAAGGGGCCAAAAATAAGCATTTTTCTAGTTTCATGACAATAACTTGTGTGTAAGTGTTTGGATATTTCTGAAATTGTACTACAAGGTTCCATATCACAAAAGGAAAGCTGGAATTGAGTTTGGGGGTAATTGCCCGAAAGATTTAGGAATTGGGGCCAAAAAGGGGCCAAAAATAAGCATTTTTCTAGTTTCCAGACAATAACTTGTGTTCAAGTGTATGGATCTCTCTGAAATTGTACTGCAAGGTACCATACCACAAAGGGAAGGCTGGGATTGAGTTTGGGGGTGATGAATCATAAGGGGGTTCAAAAAATTTGGGGGGGGGGGGATTTTTTTTTCTTCTTTTTTTTTCTTTTTTTCCTTTTTTTTTTCTTTTAAAATTTTCCATTTTAAGTTGGTTATTTCTGATTTATATTTAAAAGCAAATAATAATGATATGGTAGGAGATACACACCAAACAGGATGTGTAAATTATTATATAATAAGTATTGTGAAATAGCAAGAAATTTTTAATTGCACAGTATTGCACAATAGCAAGAAATCTTCAATTGCACAGTATTGCGCAATAGCAAGAAATCTTCAATTGCACAGTATTGCGCAATAGCAAGAATTATCCAAGAGCACAATATTGCGCAATAGCAAGAAATTGTCAATTGTACAGTATTGCGCAATAGCAAGAAATATTACATTGCACAGTATTGTGCAAAAGAAGATACTTCGTATAAATTGCTTATTTCTTGATCAATTTTAATGGGGTTTTATTCTTGAATTCTTGGGGTTCTTTAATATGCTGAATCTAACCGTGTATTAAGTTTTTGGATTTTGGGCCCTGTTTTTAAATTGGTCCACATTGAGGTCCACATTGAGGTCCAAAGGGTCCAAAATGTCCAAAATTTAACTTTGTTTGATTTCATCAAAAATTGAATTATTGGGGTTCTTTGATATGCCGAATCTAACCGTGTATTTAGATTCTTAATTTTTGGTTCCGGTTTCAAATTGGTCTTCATTAAGGTCCAAAGGGTCCAAAATTAAACTTAGTTTGATTTTAACAAAAATTGAATTTTTAGGGTTCTTTGATATGCTGATTCTAAACATGTATTAAGATTTTTGATTATGGGCCCAGTTTTCAAATTGGTCCAAATCGGGGTCCAAATTAAACTTTGTTTGATTTCAACAAAAATTGAATATATTGGGTTCTTTGATATGCTGAATCTAACCATGTATTTAGATTTTTGATTTTTGGGCCCCGTTATCAACTTTGTCCACATTGAGGTCAAAAGGGTCCAAAATTAATCTTTGTTTGATTTCATCAAAAATTGAATTCCTGGGGTTCTTTGATATGCTGAATCTAACCATGTATTTAGATCTTGGATATTGGACCATAATAGGTGAATGTCCAATTTAAAATTTTTAAGTTCTTAGACCACATTCATTCTGTGTCAGAAACCTATGCTGTGTCAAATATTTAATCACAATACAAATTCAGAGCTGTATCAAGCTTGAATGTTGTGTCCATACTTGCCCCAACTGTTCAAGGTTCGACCTCTGCGTTCGTATCAAGCTGCGCCCTGCGGAGCATTTTATTGTCTATATTTTTTTTTATATTCAACAAATTCAATACATTTTCCTGCTAAGAAAATATAAAATATAAAATATTTTTGCACTTTTTCCATGATTTAATAGCAGAATTAAGTATCTTTTATAAAATTTTACAGGTAAAATAAAGGTAAAAAATATGAGTATAATTCAGAAATAAACTATAATTGTTAAAACAACAAAACACCCTATGTTTTTATAAACCTGCAATTAAAAGTGGGCAAACCAGGATGACACCATTTTGATATATTTGTAAATTGCATGAATAAATATGTTAAAACTACAAAAAGCAACATTTGAAAATTTTATAATTTTTTTACCATTATTTTGGTACACAAAATTTTGTTTTAATGGAAGACTATTTTTCATATAATAAATGTCACATTTTAAGTGTTCAGATACATTAACTTTTATTTTGGTGGATAATTACTCATCAATTGAGGTGCTCCTTTATTGGAAGAAGATTCGCATTTCATGGCTGATGAAAAGTATATTCACCACTAAATAGACTAAAATAATAGACTAAAACACAGTATTTTTATTGCTAAACATTTATTATTAAAAGACTTTCTATATTCTTCTTATCATCATAACAGATGTTTTGGCGGTATTGTTACGTAAACTGACCCAATAAAGGTTGGAGCTGATCTTTATGTTGAGTGCGCTCAAGCAGCAACTTCCATGCCACCAAGGCCCATAACTCTTGGTACATTCACCACTGTTTCGATCATTGTCTTAGTCAGTGGCGGAAAACAGCAGTCCATTAGAATACTTCATTGAATCACCTGGATGATATTTAATTTTTGATACATAAAATTATAAATATATGTGTCCTCTAGCTGTAGAGAAAGACTTATTATTTTATAAGTTACAATCAAAGAAGAGTGTCTGAGGGATGTCATCATTTCTGTTTCCTTTATTCTTAGACCATTTTCTCTATTGTTTTTTTCTTACTCGTTTTTCTCTATTCCTCATATTTTATCACCTTATTATTCTGTATTCTTTATTTTTCGCGTTCGTTTTTCTTTATTCCTTTTTTCCTTTAAACTCCATCAAGATCCCCTAGAACGATGGATCATCTTATCAATTGACCTGTAATCTGGAACCAACACAGCGATATTTTAATGCTCTGTTTTCAGAAATTCAGGATAAGATGGATGATATAACTGGTAAAGAAAAGGGTATGGTTTTTTTTCCGATTAATTCAATTTTGGGACGATCGTGCTGTAGCTAGTTTTACATAAATACTACCCGGTTGGCCGTTAGCATGCTAGTTAACAAAACCAAAAGGTAAAACTAGAAAGGAAAATTATCTATTCAGTTTTAGTAAAAAAAATATACAAATTCTCAAGGAAGCTATTAAAACAAGATTTCCAAGTGGTGAAGTTGAAATCATCTCTTCGTAAATTTTACGGACGTTTTCAAAATGTATCTACAATCCCGTCCCCTTTTCCTCGAATGTGACTTACCGAATTAGACTTATTACCGGGTTTGTACTAATATGAGCAACACGACGGGTGCCACATGTGGAACAGGATCTGCTTACCCTTCCGGTTCACCTAAGATCACCCCTTTCGCCTCTCTTGTATACAATGACGTTTAGAAACCATGATGTTTATTGTTTTTCTGCCGGTAATATTATAAGGATATAATACAAGAATGACCCGTAATGCATCATTTAAACTACATATCAAGATAAATTGTTTATTTTCTATTGTAATATTCATTCGACAAGAATCAAGATATCATAAACATATACCCCCTTAAAATATGTATTCTCTTTTATATGATGAATTGACCCAAATATTACGGTTTCCTGCAATTCCACCCTTACAAAAATGAATACCTGAAATGTGCAGAATATTAAAAATTTGAGAAAAAAAAATATAATTACCGGCGTCACCACTGTAACTCCCAACACTTAGTTTGTATTTAGATGCTGCATCTCCGATACTGAATTGTTTGTACGTAGCGTATTTCTTCTCATTTTTGTTGTCTGTCAAATCTATCCTAAGTTCATAATTGCCACTAGATATCATATGATGGATATGCTTGTTACCTTAAAAAATTCATAAACATAATTATGAAGTACTAGTATATTTCTATTTGCATGTGGATAAAGAGGAGTTCAGTTGCTGCAAAGGAGGCAAGCAAAAAGCACAAAAAAAAAACAAATACACATCTATAAGTGAACATGCGGTCTACTCGGGCTTCTTTTAAACTGAGTTTTACTGTGCGTATTGCTGTGTGTTTGACTATTCTACATTGGTTAGAGGTATAGGGGAGGGTTGCGATCTCACAAAACATGTTTAACCCAGCTGTATTTTTGCGCATGTCCGGAGCCTCTAGTCTTTGTTAGTCTTGTTTTTTTTTTTTTTTTTAATTTTAGTTCATTTATATGTTTCGGAGTTTAGTGTGACGTCCATTTTCACTGAACTAGTACACATTTTTGTTTAGGGGCCAGCTGAAGCCTGCCTCCGTGTGCGGGATTTTATCGCTGTGTTGAAGACCTATTGGTGGCCTTGGGCTGTTTTCTGCTCTTTGGTCAGTTTGTTGTCTCT